CAGGCACGAGGAGAGCGGGATGCAACCACCGCTCCCCGAGGAGTTCCAAGCCCCGAGATGCTCCAGAGGCACCTGGAGCGGGCTCGGAACGCCCGCGCGCCGCAGCCCAACGAACCCGGCTGTAATCAACGCTCCGAGGTTGTTTGGATTTGCTGCTTCCATGTTAAATATTCATGGAAAGGAGCAAAGCACGAGGAGTGCAAATGTCTGCACAGTTCCAAGCTGAAGGGCCACATTTACATTTTAATAGTGGAAAATTACAAAGCGAAGCGGGGAAGGCACAAAGCATCTCCCAAAACCGGAGAAGGGACAAAGCACATCCCGAGCTGGAGAAGGCACACGGAATATCCCAAGCTGGAGAGGGCACATGGCATCTCCCACACTGGGGAAGACACAGCGCTTCCCAAACTGGAGAGGGCACATGGCATTTCCTAAGTAGAGAAGACACACAGCATCTCCCAAAGTGGAGAGGGAACACTGCATCTCCCAAACTGGAGAAGGCACATGGCATCTCCCAAACTGGAAAAGGCACAGATCATCTCCCAAACTGGAGAAGGCACATGGCATCTCCCAAACTGGAAAAGGCACAGATCATCTCCCAGACTGGAAAAGGCACACAACACCTCCCAAACTGGACACATGGCATCTCCCCACACATGGCAGATTATGCCCAGGTTTCTCTCCTATCCAAGAGAGAGCAGCCACTCCAAGACACCTTCCAGGTATTTTTTTTCCAGGAATGAAAACAGAAGGAAGAGGACGGGATGAGGAGGCAGCCCAGACCCTGCACTGCTGCTCCTCCTCACTCCTTCCCCTGGCCCTGCTCGGAGCCAGCCCTTCCCAGCTGGAAGCAGATTCCACTCTGCACTTGTAAAACTGAAATTTAACCTGCTGGAAACACGTTAATTAAACTTGCTGGTTCTCCTCTCCGAGCAATTCCCAAATGTGGTGCTGGGAGATGAGGATTTCAGCTTTTCCCTCCAGATAAAATCCATCAGGCTGATGCAGCTCCACCCTGGAAACCTCTCTTTGCAAGAAGCTGGTGCATCTTTCATTCCTCTCTTTCACCTTGTTACACTCAGCACATCGAGGGTCCTGCCTGGACTCTCAGGATAAATCCCTGGAGGAAATCCCGGCACTGCCCAGACCTGTGACCGACCCCACACAACTCCATTAACAACAATGATACAGAAAACCAGAGAAAGCCAGGGAGTGTTTCTGCTCTGTCTTGGAAAATAATTCCCATCCACATCTCCGTACTGGCCAAAAAAAAAATGCGTCCAGGACCGAAATGGAGCGTTTAGAACTTCCCCCCCAATTCCGAGCCCGGCAGCGACTGCTCAGCTCAGTTTTGTACATTCACATCAGAACAGCCAAAGCTTCTGCAGCAAAGTTCAAAAGAATTTTCAGCACAGCTCAGCGAGTCCCTGGCCTGTATTTATAACACTCCTTCAAAAGCTCCAGAGGTGGGGAGGCAGCTTTGGGAAGGGCAGTGGGAGGATCCCGAGAACTGCGCAGAGCTTATCCCAGATCCTTTCAGAGAGTCACAGAATCCCAGGATGGTTTGGGTGGGAAGGGACCTTAAAGCCCATCCAGTGCCACCCCTGCCATGAGCAGGGACACCTTCCACTAGCCCAGGGTGGTCCAAGCCCCATCCAACCTGGCCTTGGACACTTCCAGGGATCCAGGGACAGCCACAGCTTCTCTGGGCAGCCTGTGCCAGGGCTATCCCAAAGGAAGCAGGAAGAGGCCCCTGTGTCACCACGACGACAAAGCAGAGGCAGCTTCTGATCAGCTGAAAACAAAGACTTGAAAACTTCCAGGCTGAGAGAACTTACCAAAAAGATGGATCTTGAAAATTATGGAGCAGCTGGCACAGGATCCGACTGATGTGACACCAGTGAGCAATTAGCACCACTGCAGGTGTTTCAGTGAGAGCAGGTGACGTGGTGCACACCTGGCTTCACTCACTGGAGTGACACACTGGGCTGATAAATGCTGGTGTGGATTTGAGACTTGAGCACCAACGGGACGAGCAAACGGACACAGAGACATCCCAGAGAGGTCCTGAGGTCCAGGCACCATCCCACTTCCATTGACCCCCCTGACTGGCTCCTGGTGCTCCCGTTCCCTTTTCCCACTGGCAGCTGCAGGAGTTGTGTGGGAATGGGACACCTCCCCTTGGGGTCACCTTGGAGCGAGCTCTCCTTGTGCAGCTCCTGCAAAACCAGCCCAAGGCTGCTGCAAAAAGGGGCCCAGGTGTTCCCCCAGGGCATCACTGAGCTGAGAACGTCCCCAAACCCTCCTGGAGCGGTGGGAGATGAGGCTCTGCTCCAGATCCTGGAGTTGGACTGACCAACAGGCACCAAGATGTGCCACAAGGATGTGTGATGGCACTGACGACCCCTCTGAATCCAACCCCTTAAGTCCTCTTAAATCCAGTTCTCTCCAGTCCAACCAAGGAGCCAAAGCTCAGCAGCTGCCATTCGTGGCACCCTCTGCCTGCAGATCCGTGTGACACAGGGATAAGGAAGCAAACAGAAATGATGGAAGAGCCCAACTGCACAGTCTCCACAAACACTGGAAGAGCATGGATTCATCTCTGGATTTGCAGCCTTCCACTCTGACCTTCTTCGGCCCAGCACTGAGGAAACGAGCAGTGCTCGGACTCTGGGGTGGAAACCCGTGGGTTGGGAACCCAGTGGAGCCACACGAGGAGTCCTTCAGCCCAGTGGGCTTTAAACAGCCCTCAGGGAGCCTCCAACACCCACACTGGGCACCTCACTCCCAGCTGAGCTGCCTTTGGCCAGTCCTGACAGCAGATGGAGCCCATCGGGAGCTTTCCTGGAACAGTTTCTGGGTTATTTTCCCCTGTGGGAAGTTCAGTTCTCACCCTCTGGGCTTGCTCTGCATTCTGAGGCAAAGAACAGGGAGAGGGGACGGCTCCAGCTCAGCCGAGCGCTCCGTATCCAGATGGAAACAGGGATGGAGTCCCCTGGAGCCCTGCCAACCACCCTTCCTCCCCCAGCGCAGCACAGCAGGTCCTCTCTGGCTCTGTCTGATGCTGGGGGCACCAAATCTCATCCCAAGCAACCCCAGCTCCACGTGGGCCACTCGAGAGGAAGATTTCACCTCCAATTTTAACAAATCCTCCCAGATTCTTGGTTCCGACATCCCTCACCTGTTCTGATGGAACCATCGGAGGGAAGGGCACACCAAGAAAAGCCCCTCCTCATCCTCAAGGGCATGAGCAGCTCTCCTGCTCTCCTTCCAACGCCCCTCCTCATCCTCAGGGACACGAGCAGCTCTCCTCCCAATGCCCCTCCTCACCCTCAGGGACGTGAGCAGCTCTCCTGCTCTCCTCCCAGTGCCCCTCCTCACCTTCAGGGGCATGAGCAGCTCTCCTGCTCTCCTTCCAACGCCCCTCCTCATCCTCAGGGACATGAGAAGCTCTCCCCTCTCCGACACACACTCCTCAGCTCTTAATGAACTTCCCAACCCAGTTTCTCCTGCCTGGGAATCTCTCTTCCCTGGGAAGCTCAGTGCCAGTCCCCCTGACCGCGGGCAGGTGCCATCTGGACCCGCTGCTTGGCGTGTGATTAGTTTGCAGCCGTTCCCTGACCTATTTTACACAAACAGCCGCGGCTGAAACACCGACGTTTCATTGCACCTGACATGTTTTCCTGCCCTTTTCCCTCACACTTTTTCAATGAAAATAATTGAGCCAGTCAATCACAGGCTCGGAGTCCAACGGAGAAGAATTTAGGCTGGCAGGGACCTTTGGAGGTCACCTAATCCAAAACTTGTCTCACGGCAAAGATGGTCACTTTTCTCATTAATTAATTAACTTTCCCGTCATCACCGTTCACGTGAGGAATTTTCAGGCTTTTCCCCGTGTCCTTCCCAACTCTTAAGCCTTCCCCCAAATTCTCAGCAGCTGTTTCTAACTATCAGCAACAGCTGAGAAAAGGAGGGATAAAGGATGTTTGGGGCCCAGGTTTCTGGATTCACAGCCACTTCCAAGAACCAAGCTCAGCACTTGCTGCCTGCTGCAAATTCCACAAGGACTGATTCCAATTGTCTTTCAGTCACCTCAGGATTTTCACAGAATCCCAGGATGGTTTGGGTTGAAAGGGACCTTAAAGCCCTTTCAGTTCCAACCCTGACATCTCCCACTAGCCCAGGTTGCTCCAAGCCCCAGCCAACCTGGCCTTGGACACTTCCAGGGATCCAGGGGCAGCCACAGCTTCTCTGGGCAACCTGGGCCAGTCCCTCACAGCCAAGATTCTCTTCCTGAAGTCTTTTTTCCCCTGCTGGCCTGATGACTCTGTACCTTCTGTGGAGGGACACGTGCTGAGAATGAACTCTTCCCTCCACTGACAGCTCTGGATCAATAAACTCAGGATAATTCAAGAAAACTCAACAAGTGTCGATTTTATCCCTGATCTGAAGCTCAGTTTCATGTGGCCTTTATCACATGGTGACGTCCCCACCAGAGAGGGACAGAAGAGGTGACACAAGGGAAAAGGCTGAAATCCCAAAATATCCCTTCATAAAGCAAATACAACCAGAAGAGCTGCTCCTGTTCCTCACAGGACCTTCAGCGTGGGGCAGCTCCGTGACCTTTGTCACTGCAAGGCAGGGAATGTCCCCTCCTTGCACCAGTCCCAGCTAATGGCCTTGGCAGGGAAGGGTCTCTGGAATGGAGCAGCCTCCAGGATGCAGAGAGAGGAAGAGGTGAGGGTTTTACAGCAGAGCTTTGCAGAGCTGCTCCTGACTCCTGACCAAGGGTCTGGTTAACTCCTGATCTGGGCAGCCTGAGCCACACTGGATGAACAGCCTGGACGGCCCCGGGAGGAAAGCAGAGCTCTGCCACTCCCCAAACCCAAACCGGCGGCACCGGGAAAACCCACCAACCTCCCCCCCCCAACACAGCCCTGGGCTCCCCAGCGAGGCACAAAGGGAGAGAAAAAAGGGGCAGGAAGAAAGATCCAACTCACCAACATCAGACTCTTTGTGGGTTTTGATGATCTCAGCCAGCTCGAAGTTCCCCGCGATGATGGCCACCTGCAAAGACACGGAGGGAGGAGGGTTCAGCGGCTCCGAGCGGCCCCGGTGCCAGGGGTGATGCCACGTGGGCTGCCAACAGCTGCTTCCCGTGGGGAAGGAGCCAACAATCCTTCTGCCTCGGCTCCCCCAGCCAGCAGCCCCGAGGTGGAACCCCCTGGCCCCGCGGGGCGAGCGTATGCCGAGGGCTCGTGCGGCGGGAGGGCGGCCAACGGCCCGGGGAGGGACAGGGACGGTGCCCTCTGCTCGGGGTCTGGGGGTGACACACCAGCCACCGGCCAGGAATCAGTCCTGCGGGTCCCGACAACGTGTTCCCCGGGCTGAAGCTCTCCAGTGATCCCGGTTAGAATCACACAGTTGCTAAGGTTGGGAAAGGCCTTTAAGATCATCGAGTCCAACCGTCACCGCGGCGTCACCGCCGTGTTCAGCACTGATCCGTGTCCCCAAGTGCCACAGACACGGGGCTTCTGAGCACTTCCAAGGGTGGGGAGTCCACCACTGCCCTGGGCAGAGTGTTCCTGATGAAAGGGGACTTACCAGCAGCCAAGCCCCCCCCCCAGATCCACAGAACCAGCTCACGGTCTCTCTCAGACAAGGAGCCCCTTCCACTCGGGCATTGGCAGCAGCAGCTCCCCCCACTAAAACCACAGCATTCCAGACTGACATCAAACATTGCTTTTGCCACCACTCCACAGGAAGAAAACCCCAAAGGGACAAGGTTCTTGGAGAACCCAAAAGAACGAGGAAAGAGGGGAAGCTGAAGGTGGGTCTGCTGGCAAAACAGACAGAGTTGGTCTGTCCTGCTCTGGGAAGGGATTCCACAGGTGCTCCTGTCCTGGGGAGCTGCAGGACACCAGCAGCCTTCCCAGAAAGGATGGTGAGGCCTTGGCAGGGGCTGCCCAGGGAGGTTTGGAGTGCCCAGCCCTGGAGGTGTCCCAGGAAGGCCTGGCCGTGGCACTCAGTGCTCTGGGCTGGGGGACAAGGTGGGGATGGGGCACGGGGTGGATCCATGGGCTGGGAGGGCTTTTCCAGCCTCTGGGATCCTGGGATTCTCTGAAGGCAGGTTAACATGCAATTAAGAGGAGAGACTAAAGCACCATCTCCTGAAGCAACACTTCAACCAACAGGCAGAGACATCACTGACCTCTTACATACCTGGGAAAGAACCCCCAAAGCAGCAGCACATCCCAGCTGGCAGAACAACCCAGTGCTTCAGAACAAGGTGCAAAAACATCCTTGTCACATGTGAAAGAACCCAGTGAGGTGGGTCAGAGCACATGAAATCCACCCCTGACCCTCAGGAAAACAAACCAGGAGACGAGCCAGAGGAACTGGGGTTGGGCTCTTTTCCCAGGCAACCATCAGCAAGACAAGAGGGCTTGGTCTCAAGTTGTGCCAGGGCAGGTTTAGGTTGGATATTAGAAAGAATTTCTTTGCAGAGAGGGTGCTCAGCCACTGGAATGGGCTGCCCAGGGAAGGGGGGGATTCTCCGTCCCTGGAGGTGTTTAAGGACAGACTGGATGTGGCATCAGTGCCATGGGCTGGGAACCACAGTGGTGTTGGATCAAGGGTTGGACTTGATGATCTCAGAGGTCCCTTCCAACCCAGCTGATTCTGTGATTCTGTGATTCCATGATTCTTTGAACTGGACTGAGCTTGGCTGAACCGTTCCTTTGATGCCCCCACGAACCGCAGCCACCTCGGCCCTTCCCCAGCACACCCAATCACCCCTGAGCCCCTCAGGATGGTGTCCTCTCTGAGCAGCACCCACAGATTACTTGGGAATGAGAAGGAACCAGCTCAAGTTGATTCTGGGTGAGAACAAAGTGCTGGTGCTGTGTGAGATCCCGCCTGGACGCAGCCGCCCACGCTGGGACCATCACACACCTTTGTGTGCAAGAGCAGCCCAGGAGCAGCACCCAAACCCCCCCAGACACGAAATCCAGGGCAACCCCGGCAGCTCCAGCTGTTGAACACTTCCCTGCCCTCCTACAAGAAGAGCTTTCAGCAACAGGAGGCTCATTTTCATCTCAGCCCCAACTTGTGACGGGGGATATATTTACCCGGTGACTCAGAGCACACACACACCTCTACTACCAGCCTTCCCCAGCACAAACAGTCCCACTGCCCTCAGCTCAACAATGTTTATGTGACTTTTTTTGTATTCTGAGGCCCGGAATTCGTGCTCCACCTCCTCAGCCAGAGCTGGAAGTGATCAGTGAGGGCTGCAAGAAAGGAAATCTTCCTCCTGCCTTCGGGAAACTAGGCCAGAGCAAGAGAAAATTGAGTCAAACTCTCTGTTTTCCCCCAAGCTTGCTCCAAATTGTGATTTTTCTGTCTCTCCTTATATATGCACATATATATTTATAAGATCTGCTCTCCCAAAGGTCACAGGCAAAGACAGTTTTTGTATAGAAGGGCAAATGACCTGAATTTGGGGAAACATGGAAGCAAAAATAACCAAAGTGACAAAAGACTGGAAGGGAGTGTTTGAACTTCAAAGTTCCTCAGATGAACAATTAACACATAGTTCAAAACCATCCAAAGGTGATTTCCACCAAAAATCCAAAGTACAAATTACAAGTCTCATTAGATGTCTGTCTTGGGAATGACCCCTGAAATGGATGGGGAATCACAGAATCCCAGGATCCCCGAGGTTGGAAAAGCCCTCCAAGCCCCATCCAACCTGGCCTTGGACACTTCCAGGGATGGAGAAGCCACAGCCACATCCTGGCTCTGGCACAGGGTTATTTTCTGAAGTGCTGTAACACCTTGAGTCATTCCACAGCATGAGATCAAAGTGACAACGCTGCTTAATCCAACAGCAACCTGCCTATTTTTATCTTCCTGGGCAAACTCAGTCATCTCTAAAGGAAAGAAAGAGGAGATGCCACCAAATATAAACCAGAGATCACAGGCTGGTTAAACAACTTGAAACCACTTAATTGGGCTTTCACCCTGGGCCTGCTTTTATGATAACATTTAATTTTTCTTGTTCTGAGCTGTCACTGTATATTCACATTAGAGGAGCTGTTCTCTCCTTTCACCAAGTTTTGATGTATGATGGAGAGCAAAGATGGATGGATTTTCCTATGGGAAGACATTTCCAGCTCCGAAAGGGATCTCAAAGCTTGGATGAGGAAGAAGACAAGCTTTAGGTTACATGAAGAACTGATGCAGTAAGAGCAGGAGCACAGAGGTGGCTCCTCTGGGTGCCAGACAGAGCCCTGCAGCCCCTCTGTGCCTGCTGTCAGCCCCTGGCCTCCACACAGAGGACTTGGGACACGATGGGACAGGACAGGATGTGACAGGACATGACAGGACATGACAGGAGCTCCAGCTCCCAGTGCTGCAGCTTCCCCGAGGAAGGAAGAACCACAGCACAAAGGGATATGAAACCCATCCTGATGATCCTGATGCCACAGCCAGGATTTCAGTGGTCCTGTGGAGGGCTCAGGTAGGAATATTTCTAAGGATAAGAGTCCTGATCAACATGGAATGTGCTGTTTTACACAGGAAATGTGAAGAATAGCTGAAGACTGAAAAAAATGGAATCACTTTCCTGGTGCAACAACGTGACAGTTCAGTCACCTGGAACTTGCCCTCAGAGGTACAAAAACTGCACATCCAGGTGGATTCCCACCATTATCTGCCCTTTGATCCTTAAAAACACCCCTGGTAAAGCACCATTGCCCTGGGATGAGGAAGGGTCAGGTCCTCTGGCATGTCAAGCTCACAGACTGGCTGCCACCACTGCAGATGTCACCTTGGGATGGTCACAAAGAGCACTGCCACCACTGCAGATGTCACCTTGGGATGGTCACAAAGAGCACTGTCACCAGTGGAGATGTCACCTTGGAATGGTCACAAAGAGCACTGCCACCCCTGCAGATGTCACTTTGGAATACTCACACAGAGCACTGCCATCAGTGGATTTGTCACCTTGGAATGGTCACAAAGAGCACTGCCACCACTGCAGATGTCACCTTGGAATACTCACACAGAGCACTGCCACCAGTGGAGATGTCACCTTGGGATGGTCACAAAGAGCACTGCCACCAGTGGAGATGTCACCTTGGGATGGTCACAAAGAGCACTGCCACCCCTGCAGATGTCACTTTGGAATACTCACACAGAGCACTGCCATCAGTGGATTTGTCACCTTGGAATGGTCACAAAGAGCACTGCCACCACTGCAGATGTCACCTTGGAATGGTCACAAACAAAGAGCACTGTCACCAGTGGAGATGTCAGCTTGGGATGGTCACAAAGAGCACTGTCACCAGTGCAGATGTCACCTTGGAATGGTCACACAGAGCAGGAGAGTGGGGAACTGGGAGACAGAAGAGCAGTCAAACCTATCAACTGTCCATGAGGCACCGACTCCGAGCCACAGGCAACTGATAAAGGGAAACATCCAGTTGCCAAAAAAATCTTCATGAAGTGAGACAAAGGAAGAGAGGGAGGCAAAGAGACCAAGTTCCGTGGCAGGAGTTTATGTTTTTGATGATGCTTCAAAAGGGAGTTACCTGGATGAGGGTCAGAAGAACACTGAGTAGATGCCAGAGTGGTTCTGAAAATGCTGGGATGTTCACGGATTTTCATCCCTGGAAAAGCACAGACCCCCTCCCCAGAGTCTCTGAATCAAACCAACTCCCCTGTTTTCGCTCCATATCAAAGCCCACCCACACCCTGCTCCCAGGGGGGCTTCTCAGCTGCACATGAAACACTTGGAGAAGTCCAGAACTTCACCCTCATCATCCCACGTGTGCCAAAGGCACCAGGAGCAGTGATGGCCATGGGGCACAAAGGCAGAGCAGGGCCTTGGGGGAGGCAGGTGAGATGCACCACCTCCAGGAGATTATGGGATAGGAAGGGAGGGATCATCAGAGGTGCTGCTGGGCAGGAACAGGTCACTCCTCCTTGGAAGAGGAGTGCAAAATGGCTTTTTAAGGAGGTGCAGGCAGCCAAATTAGCATCACAACACAGTGAAGCTTCTC